TTGCTGCTCTGTTGAGGCAGCGGGAGGAATAAATGTCCATCAGGGAGGGGAGAGGGCAGCTGATGATCTTTTGTGCTGTCATGACTACACTCTGAAGCCTCGGTCTATCCAACTCAGTGCAGCTGCCGTACCATACCGTGATGCTGTAAGTTAGCAGGCTCTCAATGCACGAGTGGTAGAGGGTCAGCAGCAGGTTGGAGTTCAGCTTGTACTTCCTGAGGGCCCTCAGGAAGTGCAGGCAACGTTGGGCCTTTTTTTTTTGTTTTGTTTTTTTTTTTGCCTGTCCTGTTTGGTTCTTTTGCCATCAGAATTATTGTCTAAAGGCGAGGAAAGATGCCCAACGGATTTACTTTACCAAGTTGACCATCCCAGCCTTGCCGTAATGGTCTATTTGATTCACCTTTTATTGTTTATTTTATTTTTTTTTTAATTTTCACTTGCTAGTTACGGGACAGACTTTAATGAGGAAAAGAAAAGGGAGAAAGGAAGAGGGGGAAAAAACTGCGGAGAAGAGGGACGGGGATAAAGGGCAAAAAAAACCCAAAAACCAACTAAATAAGCAGACACACAAAAAAAAATGCATATATCAATCACCTGGATCGCCTGTTGAGAAAGAAAAAAGAAAACAAGCAGAAGAAAACGAGAGCAATACAATAAACAACATCACAATGATATATGGGAATATAACAGTAAATATTAAATATTAAACATTATTGTGCAGCACGTAATATCAACAGCGCACAGTGTGCTTTGAGGTAGGAGCCAAAAAGGGTGTCGTTTGTGTGTGTGAGCACCCGTGTGTACACCTGTGAGCATGAACACGTTTGTTTTTAAAAGGTTCCTTCATGTAATGATCTGCTAGAGGGTGTGGGGGGGCCACAGCCCCGTCCTCCAGGGCATGAAGCAGGTATGGAGGAGATCAAGACTCCAGACATCCAGAGGCCCCCAGAACACAAGAGACCAAGGAAGACCAACAGAGGGGCAGCCGCGCCACTGTCCCAGAAAGAGCTGAGGAGAGTCCCAGATGAGGGCTCACTCAGCAGCTGCGGAGCAGAAGCCAGGGGGGTTGCAGTGATGTGCCCGTGAGCTCCGCCGGCAGCCAGCTGCGCCAGAGTGACTGAACCCCAGGCCGAGAGGCCGAGGGCACCCCACCCCGAAGTGGCCCGAGCGAGCCCCAGGCTCCAGGCCCTGATAAGCAGCCACCAAGGAGTGAGCCGGTGTGTACCTGGGCGCCCACCCCCGGACACAAAGAACCACCAACGCGCTGATGTCTGAGGGCGTCTGCCACTGGCAGGGGAAGTGGTGGTGGGTGATAGGCCTCCATACCTTAGAGGGCCTGAGATGTCCCCAGAGAGGTGGCGTCTGATACCCGACCTGACATATGGACACAGACAAACAGGCACACACAGATACAAACATCCATTCCCACCCTCATGCTCTCATATGCACTTACTCCACACTCAACCAACGTGGAGACAGACATAAAGAGACGCTGTACACACGATCACACTCCCCAAGCGTACTCTAAGAACCTGGTCTAGGTACCTTTGCCCCTGGAGGGGGGAACTGCACCCAGACCCAGGTGGTGTTACCCTTTTTCCCTGTGGTGGCGAGAAGCAGACCGTCCCGACTCCGCAGCAGCAGGGAGGCCCCACATTCCAGACCCCAGTCGGATGGCCAACTCCTCCTCCCGGCCCCCCGCTCCAGCAGGTTGCAGAGAATGGGGGTGAGAGAAGACTCCAAAACCTCCCTCCGCCCACTCATATGTAGTGTTGATGCATGTGTGTTCTAAGGTGCATTTAAAACCCAGGAGGGCATGGAGCTACCTGCCAGAGAGCAGCAGGTAGTCCCTCCTGATAGCCCTCAGTGTCTGTATTTAAAATTGAGAGGTGGGCAATGACGCCAGGGGTGAGGTGTACACCCTGATGGTCTTTTGGAGTCCGTGTAGCGTGCCCACCCCCAAGATCCTATATGTATGTGTTATGAGAGTGTGAGTAATGTGAATGTCTAAGTTGTGAGATAAAATTAAGGCACAAGAAGCCAGAAGGGGACAGAGGGGGGGATGCCTCCCCTGCACCCTGGTGACACACCTTTACCCCAAGGACCTGCATGTGTGGGTGGTTGTGGTGGAGCGGGAAGAGGGAGGCAGCTGGAGATGGGGAGGGAAGGAAGGGAGGGGCAAGTGACCCCTCCCTGGGGCCAGCTCCCCCGCTGAACCCAGTAGGCACCTCCATACTCCGCAACCCGCCAGGGAAAGGGGGCCCAGGCCCATCCGGACCGGGATCCAGAACAGCAGCACCGCCCATCCCCACAGAGCCCACCTGACCCCACCACATAGAAAACTGCACCCACCCCGTCATCCACTCATCTTCCAGACTACACAAGACAATAGACGCCCAGGCTGAGATCTTCCTCCACCTCTCCTGTATCTCCCCTCCTGCAGAGTGAGTTCCTGAAGAGAGGAGAGCTCCTGCAAGGTGTAACACCCCCCACCAGTTGAAGAGCCCCCCAGGTGGCTCGATGCACTGGCAGCACCCTGCGCCAGGGCCGGGCCCCATACACCCACCCGCCCACAACCCCAGCAACATACCAACCAGGACCCAAGCCCCCGAGGCCCAGCCAGGGCCCCAGCCCAGAGACGGAGCGCCCCCAGAACCTCACGCCCGTCCCAGACCCACCCAGGGGCAGCCAGGCTACCAGGTCAGTAACCCACGTCCGTCAGCACAGACCCTCCCCTAGCCATGCTGCACGCAGCCACGAGGAAACCGTCACCTAAGAGCCAACAGAGCCCCTAATAGGCCATGACCGCTACCCCGGGTTGAGCCACCCAAGGAAGATGCTCCTGGGGAACCCCCCGACGAACGTTGGGCCTTCTTGATGACCACTGAGATGTTATCTGTCCAGGAGATGTCAGCAGAGATGAGGACACCAAGGAACCAGGAGTGGACCCTCTCCACACAGTCCTCGTGGATGTAAAGGAGGGGGGGGGAGGTATGTCAGTGCTGTGCCTCCTGAAGTCAACAATGACCTCTTTGGTTTTCTTAGTGTTCACTGGCATGTTGTTCTCTGAACACCATGCTGCCAGCTTCAGGACTTCCTCTCTGTAGTCTGCCTCCTCTGCCTTTGAGATGAGTCTGACTACTGTGGTGTCATCAGCAAACTTGATGATGAGTTTGTTGTTGTGGGTCGAACTGCAGTGGTGGGTGTAGAGAAAATACAGGAGGGGCTCAGCACACAGCCCGGTGGGGAGCCAGTGCTCAGTGTGCGATTTGAGGAGACATTAGGGCCAAGTCTTACAGTGTGTGTGTCTGTGTTTGAATCCATCTCTCACCCCAACCACACACCTCACCTCTGTTTTACTGTTCTGATACATGTCCTCCAGCAGCCTCACCCTCTCTGTCCCACTGCTGTCCTCCTCATACAGTACCAAGGTTCCTTTCTTGTCACGCTATGTCCTCTTCTTCTTTTACTAAGATGAATTCCTTCTAAAGAAGGAAGGACATTTTTATATAATAACTTAACGCCATCTGTCATCACCTACAAAACAACAACCTACCTTGTTGTCATGACAGTGATTAGGCATACAAAAACAGCTGTACCATCAATGTTTCTGAATAAAGTTGAAGGATGAGGAGAAGGTTGAGGAGAGCCATGCTTTTAGAACATGTAAGCAGGAAAGCATACATGTACTTTAAGGTTCACTTCTTTGTTTCATTTGAAAACTTTGATGTCTGCTAATGAAAGTTTCTGGTAAAGGGATGACTGGACACACAAAAAACATCTAAAACATCTATGGATTAAAAGGTCAGATAAAGCAAAGTCCAACTGGAAATGGTACACTATGCACAAGCAGGGCAACAAGTATGTTCTCTACAGACGAAACCAGGGTCGTGGGCGTGTCTGATGGCTTCCCCACACAGGTGATCAAGGATGTGAGAGAAAGTGATGCAAACATTTACTACTGCAACAAGTATAGAAACAACCAAGAACACAGGAGAGTTAAACTCATTGTTTCAGTATGATGCTTGCAAACAGTGATTATTTTATGATTATCACATCGATGAATGCATATCCTCTCAGAGCTGAAGGTAAAGGTGATTCCTGCCTAATCACGACCTGAAAACAGCTCCATCTTAGCAGTGATAGAAAATTGAAATTCAGAGAAACGCTAAAGATATTTGAGATAAAATGAATGAAAATTTTGGTTCCCACAAAGTATGAATAAAACAGAGTAAAAGAGGGTACGAATATTACTGAACAGTACACACAGCTTTTAGAGGCTCACACTGCTACCATTCATATAATACCCCCCCCCCCCCCCCCCCCCCCTCTCTCTCTCGTCCAAACATGGATGAAGTATAGACCCAGTGAAGACATTTGATGTGTTATAAAGAAAAAGATTAATCGTTTTTCTTCTTTTTTCTATTTCTGTATACTAATATAGGCCAGTCACTGCATCTTTATCAGTAAATCTGCTTGGTCTGATTTTTTTTAATTTAGACTTTACAAAGGTGAGTATACTAGTAATATATAAAAACACACATGTATTTATTATATATAGCAATAGACTACCTTTACTGCTCATTTACTGAAGTATATTTACAGATGAATGAAATGAAATGATATTTTGAAAAATAAAAATATCACGCCTGTTAGTGGTTCTGGTAAGTTTCTTTTTCTGCACCACAATAACCATTAATGCCGCACCATTGTTGTTACTCTGCCAATAGTAACAACTTTGGGTTTTTTGATGAAAATGTAATGAAATGTGGTCATGTAGCATATTTAATTGGGATGCTTTGTAAATTTTAAAAATAACAAAGACAAGAAGTGTGACAATACACAAAAAAACCCCACTATAAATTCAAAAGTAAGAGTCCAATAGCTGCTGCAAACATGCATTCTTCACTAGAGGGCTCTGTTGTGAAAAAAAAATTATCATAAAGGAGGAAGTGACTTTGGTCGTGTTAAAACGTGTTTGTCCTGCAGACACGCTGAAATCAGCTCTGTATTCAGGTTTTCCTCTTAGGCAGCTCATGAATTTGAACATTTATTCACATTTCTGATATTTCATAAATTTTGATATTAACAGAAGTCATAGCAAGGACTAAATTATATTCACATAATCAACTTTTTGATTAGAAGAGAAAATCTACAGCAGCCATGTTGTTGGCAGAAGCTGGATGTTTGTTTCTGGGTTTCATTCTGTGTCTGTCAGGTAGGAATAATTTGTTTCTCCTCCTCATGATGACTGTGATGATGTTTCTGGAATCTAGAAAAAGATGCAGAAAGTTACAAGTTTTTCTCAGAAGTTAAATTAAAGTGAATTTCCTAAAAAAACCTCACTTAAGAGATTTACTGTTAACATGATTTTTTCTTGTTTTGAAGTTCTGAACTGTCAAGTGTATCAAAGCACCAGATTGTGATCTTTTACAGTAACATGCTGTCATCACAGATTAGCACAGAAAAGAAAGTTAGCATAAATGTTCACCATGTTTTCTAATCACATGTTGTGTTAAAGGTGTTCAGGGAAAACCAAACAGCATCTGTGTCTTGAAAGGTTCATCAGTGAATCTGCCCTGCTCACATCAACATCCCACTGCAAGAAATGGCTGGTACACTGGACACGATACTGTCTCCAAGATAATGTTCTCAGTAGAGGAAACACATGTAAAGTACAGCATGTCAGCAGAGAGTAATTTCACTCTAACAATCAATAATCTGACAGAGAGAGATGCAAATTTTTACTGCTGCATTAAAACTGCTGACAGATCAAAGTGCCAACAAAGTGGAATTCATCTCCAAGTTACAGGTACAGTTCTTTTTACAAATGCATCACAAATGAATGATTTTATGAATGATCAGTGTATTCATGTTGGTCATGTGACCTCTCAGAGCTGCAGGTAAAGGTGATTCCTGCCACAGAGGGACAGACAGTAACACTGATGTGCAGCAGCAGCTGTCCTCTGACTGAAAAGCCTGCAGCCTACATCTGGTACAAGAACAGAGAGTTTCTCTATGAGGACTGGTCTCCCTGGTACCAAGAGCTGCTCAGCAGTGAGGAAGCAGCCACATACTCCTGTGCTGTCAAAGGCTACGAGCATCTCAGAGCCCCTGAAGTCTCTGTGGGTGAGTCATGATGGACACCTCCTCATCATGTTATGAGATGTTAAACACAAACACTTTACTCTTCAGACTCTAATGAATTTACGGAAAGTTGTTGGTTTTTCTCAGGTTCCATCACAGAGACCTGCTTAAGTGTGACCTATGCTAAAGGGAGAATGTGTTCTTCTCAGCAGACATCCGTGGACGAGTCCTGCTCCATCACATATCCCAGAGGTGAAGTTCTGGACAAACTGCACTTTGAAACTTCATTTTTATTTCTTAATTTATTTGACATGACAGAGATGAACTGGTGGAAAATGTGTTCATCATCTCCCAACAGAAATTCATGTCCAGAGGACTCCTGCTGAACACAGAGGTATCATCAGACTGACCTGTAACAGCAGCTGTTTTCTGACTGAGCCTCTGATTTCCTTTGTGTGGTATGAGACCAGAAAGCCTACAGTGCAGGAGGGAAAACAGATTCTAGTTCACATCTCTCAGCCAGACAGTTTGTCCTGTGCTGTAAAAGGTCTTGAGGATGTTCGCTCTGCTGACGTCTGTGAGTAAACTTATTGTCTCTCCACTTACAAAGTATTACCACCACTTCTTGCAATTATGACTAATCATCACACTGGTTTCCTGTAAAGTTCAGGATCAGTTTTAAAACGTTGGTGATCACATCACAATTCTCAGCTGCAGATCCAAAACTCTCCCTCTTCAGATCTGCTCATCTATGATACTAACAGTATTCATCTCCTGACTTCTGCTCAGCTTTTTCAGTCTCACCCAAGAGTAACTCAGTCTGTCATTTTGCCCAGTGTATTTCTTTCTTCTTTTATATATATTTAATGTTATTATTTTATTATTGCTTTTGTTAATTATTTGGTTGTTTTTATTATAAGTATACTTTAAAGTGCTTTTTACTTGTTGTTGTGTTTTAATATGTGATAGAAATAAACTGATTTGACTAATTAAGTTAAAATATCTCTTCTCTGTTTCATTGATATTTCAGGTGTTAGTGATTCCTGCTGGGCGTTGAATTATGTCCACAGCAGAATCTGTGCTCTGGAAGGATCTTCAGTCAACATCTCCAGTAAATACTCACATCCTGACTACGAGCAGATACAGTCTAAATGTTGGTATAAAGTCAAGAGAAATGCTGAGGAGGACGTCAGGAGGAACCTGACTGAGGATGCAGATCATGTGGAGTATGATGACAGCATGAAGAACCAACACATCCTCAGATTAAAGAAGCTGAAGAGAGATGACTCAGCAGAATACAGGTTCACCATCACAACAGGAAATGAAGAAGTGAAAGAGTTTGATTTTCCTGGAGTTACTCTGATTGTCACAGGTAATTATGGTTTGTCTTTCTTCGTATAAAAATAATAAAAATAACAGTCAACACAAAATCCTCTGCAATGCTTTCAGCTGAATTAACAAGATGAAAATGCATGAATTTTCCTCAGCTGATGATGCGATAAGAAATATTTTATTTAGTCAAAAGGCTACAGATATTTGCCTTTTATTGCTTCTTGCACTCTTCAGAAGTTAGTGAAAACCAAAAGCACCAAATCTTGTTTTATCTTTAATGAGAACTACTTTGTGTTACATTTACTGACTAGTCTGAGTGTTTTTCAGAGCTGAGAGTGAAGATGAGTCCTTCTGCAGTGGTGACAGAGGGTCAGAGAGTCACACTGACCTGCAGCACCAGCTGTCCTCTGACTGACAACACAAACTACATTTGGTACTTGAACAGTCGACCTCTGACCCCGAGAGAGAACCAGAACAAACATCTGATCCTAGACCCAGTCAGCAGGGAGGATGCAGGAAGCTACTCCTGTGCTGTGAAAACCAACAAAGATATCAGCTCTGCTCCAAAGACTCTCACTGTCCAAAGTATCACAGGAACATGGACACCAGCAGCTGCAGGAGTTTCTGCAGCTCTGCTGGTTTTAATACTTCTCACTGTCTGCTGGTGGATCAGGTGAACGTTACTGTGTTATCTCTAAGACCAGTTATGTTTAAAGTGTGATGTGAAATGTTTTACCCATTCACTGATTTGTTTCTTTTATGCAACAGAAAAAAGAAGACTTCCAGTCAGTCTCCAAGAGGAGAAATGTCAGAATCAGTGCAGCAGGTACGAAATAAGATTCAAATAATTCTGCTGTGTTAGAAAAACATCCCCTCATCTTTCCTTTTTTCCTCACACGATCATTTATTCTGGAAAAAAGCTTAAACTTATTATGTCTGCCTTTTTCTGAGTAACCAACTGTAGCATTCTTTTCAGTGTCCCTACCTACACCCGATGTTCATGTTCATCATTGTATCAAATAAGTCAGATATACATCAGCAATCCTTACCACACATTACATTAATATCATCTTCAACTAGATTTGTAATTGATTGGACATTGAACAGTCGTGATGTTTACCACTGACAGGAAAAATAATTTTTGAGTTCATTGCCATTTTTGTCCCGTCTGTTTCTCATTGTTATATCATGACCTCTGACCTTAATTGACACAATTGAGACCTGAAGTTCTTTAGAGGTTGTTTTTTGGGGGGGTTAGGTCTCTTAACTTGTTTCAGTTTGTCAGACAGGTTCTATTTGAGAATCTCAGTGACAGTGCAGTACAGTGACAATGTAACAAACAACAAACAACCAGCTATGAGTTATTGATGCAGTTTGATATAAATTTATAAGAACTGTCTCGTCTCCTCAGATGAACGTTGACTCCATGTATGAAAACATCTCAGCTCAGTCAGCAGAGCTGGATGATCATCACTACAGCAGACTGCACTTCAGTGAGAACCACACAGCTGACCTCTACTCCACCATTGAGCCACTGTATGCTCAATAAAGAAACGTTTGTTACCATGATGATTTCAACTCCAGTGATATTACTTTACCATCACAGCAGAGAAACTGCAGCATCTGGATCTGTCTGTGGGTTACACTTTCTTCATTGGAATATAAAATAAAGGTAGAAATAAGTAGAAATTGAAATCAATTGAAATTGAAAAGCTCAAGTAGAAATTCTCAAGCTTTTGAATTAAAACATATTTGGTAATGATGTACGTCTGTCACAAAAACCTGCAAAAAATGACGCAACCGTTTAAAAATTCTGCTATGTCCAAAAGCCCACGAGTGTGCATTTACTGATCACCCACTTAAAGGGTGCTATTTTTAATAACTTTGTTAGACATTGTATTACTTTGTGTGCTTTGGGTGTCACTAATAAAAACATCAAAGCCATTGTGTCCGCAGGTTTGTCTTCTGTTAGGTTTTTGTCTGTACCACAAAATAACCACTAACACTGTCCCCTGTCTCTGCTTTCATTGTCAGCACTGTCAGGTTTTTGATGAACATATAATAATGTGTAGCCATGTCACATGTTTAACTGAGCTGCTTTGAATGCAGTTTGTCTGGAGAAAGACTCACAAAATTAAAATCTTTTTTCAGCCTTTCAGGTAGGAATGAACTATTTAAGTAAAGAGCAGATTCACTGTTTGACATGATTTGTTCTGTATGACCTCTCAATTGTATTTAAGTACCAGATTTGGACTCTTTAACACTAAAGTGTTTTCTTCACACAATTTGAAGTCCATCATTATACAATGAGAAAGATGAAACAAAGATGACAAGTGAAAAACATTCAAAACAGTTGCCAATCTTCATAGGGGTAGACGTCCCAGACAATTCACCCCAGTCAGACCACATAAGGCTCAGAGAAACTGCAAATCCCCCCAGGAACTACAAGACTCCAAAGGCCTCAGTTAGCATGTTAAATATTAATATTCATCTAAGTGCAATTAGAAAAAGACTGAACAAATATGGTCAATACAAATAATGAACAGCACCACATTTGGAGAGCATCTCAAACTAATTAAGCACACAAGTCATATACACTGAACGAGGGCTGATGATATGGGCAGTTTTGCCTACACAGAACCAGGACACCAGGGCTGAACTGGGCAGCTGAACTGCTGCTACGCCATATATCTTAAGGCACCCGGGCCCTCACGTATCTGCGATACGCACCTTGAAGAACAGAATTTAATTTTGAAGAAATGAGAAAGGATAAGAGTTGACAAGTTAAGAGAAAACAAAAAACAAAAAGAAAAAATAGTAAAATCAAAAGAATCGGTATGTTAGCTGTTGGGGCTGCTGTCACTGCACTGTCAGCAGTACAATCAGTAACAACTACTAACAAGCCCTCACAGTCACAGTGGGGTGCTTTTGTAGGGACAACAATCCCAATAAAAAAGTGAGGAAGAGACACAGGAAGTTGAAATTAATGTATTAAGAAAATAAATGATTATGAAGTGAGATATTCAGGGATTCAGGTAAAATGAATGGGAACTTTGACCATGAGCCACTCTTAATAGCTAAGGTGTGGCTTCTGATTGTCACAAGCTGCTGTGCAGCTAAGGCGTCCTAAACCAACGACAACGTGATTTAAACTTGATTCAAATAAATAATCAAACAAAATGAAGTATATTCATAATATGTGTATCGGAGCTCAGTGACCTTCCAGTCACTGAGGTGGCCATGGCCCTCACATTTGACTCTAAAATATTTTAAAGTCCTCTGTCTGACAGCTAAAGCCTAGAGTAAAATGAGTCATACAAAGGACAGTGAACCCAAGCTCAGCAGCAAATCTTCAACAGAATGGCTTAAAAAGAAAAGAATCAAAGTGTTGCAATGGTCCAGTCCAGTCTTTCCAGACCTTAGGGGTGGCTGTAGCTCAGGTGGCAGAGCAGGTCAGCCACTAATCAGAAGGTCAGTGGTTCGATCCCAGGCTGCATCCTGGCTGCATACCAAATGTCCTTGGGCAAGATACTAACCCCATGTTTGCCTACTGGTGGTGGTCAGAGGGCCCGGTGGCGCCTGTGTCCAGCAGCCTCGCCTCCGTCAGTGCGCCCCAGGGCAGCTGTGGCTACAATGTAGCTTGCTATCGCCAGTGTGTGAATGTATGGGTGAATGACTGAATGTAGTGTAAAGCGCTTTGGGGACTAGAAAAGCGCTATACAAATGCAGGCCATTTACCTTAGCCTGATGGAAAAACTGTGTTGAGTCATTAAGAGGGATGTGCATAAAAACATGTCTGCAAACTGAAGCAATGCTGTAAAGAAGGGTTGGCCAAAATTCTTCTGCGATGATGCAGTTCCTTATAGGAACTGAAACTAAGATATTTAAAGACTTAGCAGCTCTTGAACTTGAGACACTTTGTCTCTGTCAGGCTCTCTCACACCAAATAAGAGGAAGCCTCAAAACTTTGTCAGATTTAGCTTCATATAAAGGCAAGCAAACCAGTAAATTGTCTGAAATCAGGCGTACTAAAATCCAGGAACTTTTCACTGGACACAAATAAATGTGTTCAGTTCTAATAAATGTTCTATTTTAGGTATTATCACTTTGTACATTATTGTGGATGGAACAGAAGGTAAAAATCTTGATCCCAGACTCAGAGGACTCAGAACTGGTTCATCATCACCATCATCTCAGCTGCACCTAATATATTCTTGATGGTCTGGTTGTATTAAAGGTTCTTTTTATTGCACAGCTTAAGGGAAAATTTCAGTGACTTGGATGCCTTTTGAAACTGCTGGAGTGAGAATGAGGAACGAGACAAAAAGAAAAGAGAAGGAATGCAACAGTCAAATGATGATGTCACAGTCAGTATACATTTCCTCTGTACTCACAAATCACAGAAGAATAAGCTGTATAAAATCTGTATTAATTTATTTTTTAAACTTCCTGGTGACCTTGACTTTGAGGTAAAGCTCACACCTTGACCAGTTACCAGTAAAGAATTCAAACTCATGTTTTTCGTAGATGCACCTGCAGCTAAGGGGTAAAAGGAGCTCAAAGCTTCACTTAAATTTATTCATGAATATCTCGACTGGTTTTAGCAACACTTACTTAAGCTACGCTGCCATCTCCTGGCAAAACTGACTATCACTACCACATCAGTTGAGAGGAAGAACCGTTAAAATCATAACACAAATTTTTAAAAAGTAATGTATATTTACTAAGGTGATAATCAACATTTAAAATTCCCACCAGTAAAAGGCTGAGATTTCTTCTTTGACTCTTATGTCTTTTCTATTCCCTTTCTTTGATTTTGTGAACTTTATGCTTCGAAGATGAAGATGAATTTTTTGAAAGATGCTCATTAAACTTTTCTGGGTTTCATCTTGTACATCTTAGCTATAAGTGATTATTAAGTAAGGTTTACGTTACTTACTCATTACATATTTAGTAAATTAATAATCTGAATTTATGCTGGATTAATTAATTAATTAATTAACTAATTAATTACTATTACTGTGGTCTCAGAGGTCCATCAGTGGATCTGCACTGATCACATCAACATCTGAGTTCAAGCAGAAAATGGTTCACTGTACACTCGGATGGTTACAAGTAAGTTCAGAGTGAGCTCTCTGTACGTGTAACGCAGAAACGGCCCTAACCAATCTGGCGCCCTAGGCAAGATTTTAGGTGGAGCCCCCCTACATCAGCAGTGTAGTGTAATGTTGTAACAAATAATATTTCTATTAAATAAGCTTTACTTTGCATTTTAATTAACGTGGGATTATTTTTTGTATTTAGAAATAATAGTACCAACTTTTTTTTTTTTCAACATTTGTGGCACTGGCGTGGCGCCCCCTGATGGACGGCGCCCTTAGCATTTGCCTATACGGCCTATGCCACGGGCCGGCCCTGGTGTAACGTACAACATGTCTGAAGAGAAAAACCCAACTTTAACCATCAATGACCTGAGAGAGAGTGATGCAAACACACTTTTACCAAGAGCTGCTCAGCAGTGAGGAAGCAGTCACATACTCCTGTGCTGTCAAAGGCTACAAAGATCTCAGAGCCTCTGAAGTCTCTGTGGGTGAGTCATGATGTTTATGGTTGCTACAAAACAAACAGAATGGGTCATACAGCAAATCATTACAATCAGGATCACTTCTTTGTTTCTAGGTTCCATCACAGCAACCTGCTTTAGTGTGACCTATGCTAAAGGGAAAATATGTTCTTACAGGCAGACATCAGTAGATCAGCCGTGCTCCATCACATATCCCAGAGGTGAAGTTTTCACAAATAAGCAAACATCTTCCACCAAACCTCTAATATATTAGTTTGATCTCATTTTTCTTCAAAAAATATAAAGCTCACATATTACCTTTATTAACCCTTTACAGCCGATCGGAGCGGGCACGCTCTGTTTTGCGTAACTATTTTTAAATCCCGGTAGCTCTGCAACCAAGTAAGCTAGCGCAAAAATTTTTTTTGCATATGAAACCGGAGGAGTTGTACTTACATCTTATGCCATCAGCTTGTCCTAGGTCATGGTTTCCTTCCACATAAAGCTTTGCAAAAACTGCATAAAAAGCGCTTGCAGGAACAAAAACATAATATTCCAGAAACACGCTGTGCCGGTCCGATCAGCTGTTCATAACACTTCCTACGTTGGAATAGACGTCAGCGCGAACTTTTGCATTTCCGCCATTACCTGCCCGAAACCGGAAGTGACGTCATTTTTGCGGAAATGTAGTCCTTTTTACTATCAGGCCCTCAGAGCCTATACTCGTCTTTTTAAAAGTTATCTTTGACTTTATGACTTTCTGTGTCGTTTCTGGGATGCTTAGGACTCATATTGCACTGCTGGAAATTGTTTATTTTGATGCATATGCTGCTTTTTTGCAAATTTGCAGTATAATATTTATTTTCGTTTTTCCTGCAGTGTATAAAAATTGGTGTATTTCAAAAATAAAACTATGAAGACACTCAAAATAAATTTCCTGTGGTGGGAAACTATTTTGTGCAACTTTTTTGTATTTACAGTTTTGAGGGATAAGCCTCTTAAATTTCTCTAACTACAAATATATGTTAAAAAAGCAAAAACGATTTTCAATTTTTTTTGTAGTTTATTGCACTTTTTTGCAATTTATGTAATTACTATGCACTTAATGAATACATATTATTAAAATCTGGGCTATAATGGTTGTATTGATGTATAGCAACTTGAAATGCTCCCAAAAATGGCTCCACAGCAGGTAAAAATATAATATAAGCTCTGGCGGACTTGGTTCTATGGTAGGTCTTAAAGGGTTAATACATGTATTAGCAAGCCATATTTAATTACTCCTTTTTCTTAACACCAAACACCAAAAATAAAATTACATACATTATGTCAAAGTGACTCATTAAAACTATATTTATCATCTCAGAAAGCAGAA